AGCCAGACTTTTGTTAATCCAAACATTGTTTGTACGGTAAGAAGCCTTCTCAGCTGCATGTTTGATTCAAAACCAGAAGCGTTCCCAGATTAAATCTGGTATTTACAAAATTGCAAAGCACGCTCGTTTACGACAACATTACAGAACTTAAAAATTTCCACCTTACAAAGATATTAACTGAACAACCAAAAGAAAAGCTACTGACCCAGGCGTTAACACTCCTGACCACAGGATGTGCAGGTGGTTCTGCCTGATGGTTTCAGCACATCTGTGATTTTTACCGACCCATTTTTGGAGCCAAATTAAAAACATGACCCTAAACATTATCAAGCAGCAAACTAATCTGATAGCAAGATGAAGAGAGATGTCCGTGAGTAGAAGTTGTTCCAAAAAGAAGTCAGCTATTAAATACATCCGTAACACGTTAGCGTGTTGAATTACCATAGACATTCCAGTGCGTGATACAGCAATGCCTTGCATATAGTTTTATCCACCAACCTTAGGTCTGTATCTCCTCTTTTAAGACATTAGAGATTACTTATTCTGAAATGTTTTTATTTATCCTGCCAGATGCTGTCAGATCCTTTAGGCCACCTTTTCAGATGCTCTTGACTGAGGTGGGAAGCTTGGATGTTTAAAAGTTATAGGAGAGAAATCTTGGGCAACAAACTCCAGTAACCTTCCCCTCTCCTTCACAGGAGTAAAAACTCTGTTAAAGTTAAAATCCTACACCTCATAATGAGGCAAGGTGTCATGTTTTCCATGACTCCTAAAGGAAAAAGCCAATCTGAGCACTCCTATGCAGTAGCTAAGCAGACAGAACTGAGAGAGTTTACTTCCCTGGTAGAAAAGACTTCCCCAAAACTCAGTGAGGATGACATGAAAATGATGGAAGGGGCGAAACCCAACAGTGCCTGCAGGCTTTTATTTCTTCACAATGTAAAAACTGTATTTGCCCTTACGTAGGAAGAGATGGCCATACTGAAAATGAAAACAAACGGGTATGTTTTAATTTGCCTACCACCTCAGCCGCTAATACAGCCTTAAATGCCTGGTCAGTCTGGTACCAGTGATATGGAATTCTCTATCAAAATGAATTGGATTTTAACAAGCAAGGTAACGTGATGAACAAAAGGATCCCTTAAGGAATCTTATCTTTGTCTTAAAGGCAAAATACAATTGCTACTTTTCCATTCAAGATCAAAGAAGGGAAATAATACAAGGAGACAAAGACAGAAGAGACACAGAGCATCAGAAGCTTCACTTTCTTTTAGATCAGTACAATCACTATACTCACCCTACAGAGAAAGATGATTTTAAAAGGGGGGTTATATATCGCCAAAGAGAACGCTGGGCAACTTCGCTGATGTGTTTAAAGCTACTGTACCTTACAACTCTGATTTCAGAAGTTGAATGATAAACAAACAACAAAGCACTTTCAATCTTCAAAGCGATGTATCATCAGTAACAACTTCACAGTGCTCAGTATCAAGTATCATAATCTGTATTTTACTCCAGGAGGGAAAGATGTATGGAGACTAAGTGATCCACCTGGGTCTGATGCTGAACCAGGGGTGGAACTCAAACATCACAAGCTTGTATGTTCAACCACAAAGTCATGCTTTCACTTAGGGGTTGTTCTTTTGTTACCAATTTTTATTTGAGCAAATCATTACTAGAATAAATTATGGACTTTTTCCCAGCCCTTACAGAAACATTTGAGATACTCGTGGAGATACTTCCCAGGATTGTTTGGCAAAATATTTAGCACAGCGCAGCAATTAACTTACTCTGCCTCTGAAATTAATCTAACCACTTCAAGTATGTTAGTTAAATAACTATTTGCTAACATTTGAATAGCTTCATATTGAACAGCTATTCAACAGCTGAACAACAGCTTCCTTGCTAAATTGTATTTACAGCCCAAGCATTCCGCAGGACGTAGCCAGCCTCTGGGTTAGAGCTGGTCTTTCTGACCCGGCACAACTCTGAGATGGGAAGTCTGGCCTGGCAGACAGAACCTTGCAGTGATATTGGTCATTGATTTCAGTCTCATCTTTGTCCATCTAAATCACAAGAGATCTTTTCAAGAGCAGGAAGAGCACCATGTTAAAAACATACTCGGTCAAGGATCAACTTCATAGGAATTCTACAACCACCTGCAGTACAGAAAGTTTGAAAAAAATCCTGTAATATATGCAAATCAATAATAAAAGAAGAGTTTCTCCTGGAAACATAACATACACCTCTCTAAAACTACGAGAAAAAAGACGTGCATACTATTGTATTGTAGACTTACTGCGATGGGTAGGAGTGCTGAGAGATTTACTTTACATACTAACGCTGCAAGCAGGCTGGGGGGGGGTGAGGGGAGCAGAGTTAGTGAGTACCAGGAATGAGCAGAAAGGAAAAGAAGGCAGCTACAGTCCCCACGGACTGTTTTGTTCTCAGTAATTTTAGACTGTCTAGTAACGCCTTTTAATAAGCTGCAATCAGCTCTAAAGCTGCAATCAGCTTTTGTCAGAGAACATAATACTGCCCCAGACAGGAAAACAGTTCTGATACAATGGACAAAGACCCCATCTAAATAAAAGCTTTTAAAAAAAAAAGGAGAAAAAAGTTCCACCAGTGAAACACACAATTTATGCTGTCTGTACTGTGTACCCTTTCACGTCTAAAATATTAGATGTCAAAAGGATATCTATTAAAGCAAAATACATCTCAAAAGCCACACTTCCTGGTTTACTCCACTCCTAGTTTACTCTTAGATGAACTTGTTTATTTATAGGCTATTTACGCCCTGTAAGTGCAACCTAAATTAAGGCTGATTGTTAATTTTCTGTCTATAGTCTGTGCTACCCACTTCGTCTCCAAGTGACTACTACGCGACACCAAGATTAATGTCACGATAGGCTAAGTTCAAGACTACCTCCGCTCTGTTCGCTCAGTTTAATGGCAGCGTTCACTCAAGTTCAAGTCTAGCTATAAAAACCCAAGATACATATGTGATAGGTAAAACATGGATGTTCCACTCCCTAAACACAGGATTTCCCAAAACAGTGGGTCAGCTTCAACGCTGACAGATACAGCTCCAGCTCCACTGTTGCCACAACAGCCATGGCACCATAAACTGACTCCACCTAACATTTGGGTCTAAAAGTTGGTTTATAAACCATCACTAATTCTAAAAGAATTCATGATCACACTTTCAGTAGATGTATTTCTGAATTTGTATAACCCAAATCACTATCCCTTTCTTTCTTTTCGAGTCCAGAGGAAGCCACAAAGATGCTCAGAGGGCTGGAGCCCCTCTGCCATGGGGACAGGCTGAGAGAATTGGGCTTGTTCAGCCTGGAGAAGGGAAGGCTCCGGGGAGACCTTATAGCCCCTTCCAGTGCCTGAAGGGGCTACAAGGAAGCTGGGGGGGGCTTTTTACAAGGGCCTGTAGTGACAGGACAAGGGGTAATGGGTTTAAATTGAAAGTGGGGAGGTTTAGATTAGATATCAGGAAGAAGTTCCTCCCAGAGAGGGTGGGGAGGCACTGGGACAGGTTGCCCAGAGAAGCTGTGGATGCCCCATCCCTGGAAGTGTCCAAGGCCAGGCTGGATGAGGCTTGGAGCAACCTGGTCTAGTGGAAGGTGTCCCTGCCCATGGCAGGGGGGTTGGAACTAGATGATCTTTAAGGTCCTTTCCAACCCAAACCATTCTATGATTCTATGATTCCAGCAACAGACACTGTGATGGCTGTTATCACATTTTACAGGTCAGTTCAGGAACGTGCCTAAAACTTAAAGTAAGACACGTTGCCCAAAAGATACCCAATCACAGCACAAAATCTGTTTGTCCTGAAGATACACCTCTCACCTTCGCAGTATAGGCAGAGATCCATTCAACAACTTCTTAATTCCATTTGCTGGAGAGTTAGCATAAACAGCTGTGGCATTTGGTTATTCTAATTACTCTCGCTTAAGGAAAAGTCAATGTATCCCTTGGAGAGAAAACAGAATTTGTGGAATTTAAGCAACAAAACAGTAGCTTTCTTCTCTTGGTGTATTTCTGCCTCATCTAACGGGGAAGGGAACTGACCGTATCCATGACTGGTAAGTCACACGTTCTCTGAGGGATGCCAGATAATAACAGCACATCAGCACACTCACAGCCAAACGCTCCTTTTGCCAACAAGATTTCGTAACGCTTCCTCCACTTCTGAAGCTCTCCAAAGAAAGGAAGTGCTGACTCCCTGTTATAATACATAGTCGAAAGGAACCAAAACTGTCGTAATGTTTGAACTCTTTTTGCACAGAAGTCAGAGGAAAATCACTCTTTTTCATTAAATTACCTTTTTTTTTTTCAATTTTGCCTTTTTGTTTTTAAACAGTTAGAAGCTGTATACTTTTCTCTAGCTAGAGGTAAAATAATAAGGGGAACAGGTATGAAATTCAATTAAGAAATTATTTTCAAACACTTGCATTGATCAAACAATGACAGCTTTCCCCCCACCTTTTAAACCTGTTTCTACTTACCAGCCCTTCCATGCTATCTCAAAAATACTGGGAAAGAATGGCAGCCTGCCGTTATACAGCCAGAGCAGGGTCACAGAAAGGGCTTCTCCTTGCCATTTCCTAGCAGTTCCCTGTCATTTCAATACACAAGGTTAAATTACTCCCGAAGCCTCCCTACAGGGCTTCCATTGTTTGTCAGTCAGGGCTAGGACACAATCGCACTCATTCATGTGCGCAGCAAACAAGCAGCTGAGGGCCAACCATCAGCATACAGTCCCATTTTGGTTCTTCTGCAAACAGTTTGTGGAAAGATGGCATTTCAAAACAAAACCCATGTCAATTTTTCAAAGCTTCAATGCATTCCTAGTAAAAACTACTCAGTAGGGAGTTCAGACAAAAATTAAGACAACTGGAGAACAACGTGAAGAATCACCCAAACCCCCCCACTTGCTTCTTAGGACCGCTCCCCAGAAAAAGATCTGCTCGCTACGGCCACATGCGAAAAGATTACGTTTTAATAGTTAGAGAAATACACATTCAGAAAAGTTCAAAACAGCCGATTCTTTCCAAAGGCCACGCTTTTGGTTTTTTTTTGAATACCACGCAGTGTTCAGCCTCAGAGCTTATATTATTAAGGGGTACAGACACCAAGGTTCCAAAGTGCACTTAAGGCTGTTCACTTCATATCCTCTGGTTAAGAACCCAAGAGGTTTAGGGTTTGGGTGGTTGTTTTGCTTTTCTTTTTTTCCTCAACATGTTAAAAAATAGAAAAAACAAATGGAATAATAGAAGTCCAATGCTGCTGATAACTGGAGAGACAGAAGCCTCACGCACCTCTTCACTGTTTTGCCTTTTCTACTTCAAAACTTGCTAGAGCAAAGACTTTGTCTCCTGATCCTATGAGAGGAAAAAACATTTTCAGTCAGTATTAGAATTTTGAATTTCCTTATATACAATTTAAATCAAGTAAAACATTTGAGATCAAAAGAAATCCAACCTACATTTTGAAAACTAGAACACTTGACCTAATTAAAAAAAAAAAAAGAGACATACTGGCTCGACAGGTCTGAAACCAGCCCTGATGCATTGGGTCTGGCTGGGATGGAGTTAACTTTCCCCACAGCGGCTCTCATAGTGCTGTGCTTTGCATCTGTAGCTAGAATGGTGTTGATAACGCACTGAAGTTCTGGCTACTGCAGAGAAGCATCAAGGTTGTCTCGCTCCCAGAGGTCAGGAGGCCTGGGGTGGGCAGGAGGCTAGGAGGGGACACAGCCAGGAGAGCTGACAACTGACCAGAGGGACATTCCATACCATGGCACCATAAAAGGCAGGATAAAAGAGGAGATGAGGGATTTGCTATTAAGGCATTTGTCTTCTTAAGGAACTGCTACACCTATTGAAGTCCCAGAAAGTGACTGGACATCGCCTGCTCATGGGAAGTAGAGAATAAACCTTTTTGTTTTCCTTTGCTTCTGTTCACAGCCTTTGCTTTTCGTTATTACATTGCCTTTATCTCGACCCACAAGTTTCTCATTTTATTTTCTCACTCTGTGCCCGAGGAGGGGGAGTGAGAGTGGCTTGGTGGGCACCTGCTGAGCAGCCAAGGTCACTCCACCACACAAGAGAGCTGCTAACCAGGCACCCTTTTGAACCAAGCAGCTCTCCACTCACTTACACGCTCTTGGAGTACTGAAATTTAGGTCACAGAGACAGTGTATTTGGACCATGACCTAGTCTGGTGCATTCCTGTTCCACAGTTCTTCCATCACAGTTCTAACTGTAATCCCAGAATGAAGAGCTGACAACTGACCAGAGGGACATTCCATACCATGGCACCATAAAAGGCAGGATAAAAGAGGAGATGAGGGATTTGCTATTAAGGCATTTGTCTTCTTAAGGAACTGCTACACCTATTGAAGTCCCAGAAAGTGACTGGACATCGCCTGCTCATGGGAAGTAGAGAATAAACCTTTTTGTTTTCCTTTGCTTCTGTTCACAGCCTTTGCTTTTCGTTATTACATTGCCTTTATCTCGACCCACAAGTTTCTCATTTTATTTTCTCACTCTGTGCCCGAGGAGGGGGAGTGAGAGTGGCTTGGTGGGCACCTGCTGAGCAGCCAAGGTCACTCCACCACACAAGAGAGCTGCTAACCAGGCACCCTTTTGAACCAAGCAGCTCTCCACTCACTTACACGCTCTTGGAGTACTGAAATTTAGGTCACAGAGACAGTGTATTTGGACCATGACCTAGTCTGGTGCATTCCTGTTCCACAGTTCTTCCATCACAGTTCTAACTGTAATCCCAGAATGAACCGTTATGCTTATTTAATGCATATTATAACTGAACTGTTGGTCTTGTCGGTATAATTAGTGGCATGACAATCAGAGCAAGCAGAGTGGCTTAAAGCTGTATTTTGACAGTGTGCCAATAATCGCCAAATTCTCTGCATCGAGCAGAGGAAAAGGCTCTCCTGAAGGGAGTAATTAATGCAAAATGATCTGTGATTGACCATTAAGAGCGGTATCTCTGCTTGGGAAGACCATTTGACCCTTCAGCTTTACGGGCAACACTTGGCATTTTATGGATATTTGGCACTGAATTTATTTGCTGCGTTACTTTTCCCTCATGGATAGTGTATCAGAGCTTCATTGTTAATGAAACAGGAAAATGTACATCAAAATTTAATGGCATGAATCTTTTCTTCATATTTTCTCTCGCAGTCAAGTATTTCTATTTATCGGTGTTCAATGAGGCAAAGAAAGTGGAAGTTATGAGACTGAAAACTTACCAAGGTCAGTTGAGACCCTCTCAAACTGGCTCAGGGCCGCACCAGCATTTGCTGACAAGAACGTCTCATCATCTGGAGTGAGCTAAATCCAAAAGGCCACAACTGTGAACTTGGTACCTTAACTCTGCATATTCCCACCCCCCACATGGGCATATACACCAACTGTGACAGGTCACAGCCATTATCAATTTGCAGTTTTCCAGTGGCAGGGTTATCTAACAGGAAAGCAAATGCAAGCTACTCCCCCTACCAATGACTTTTTTCTCCGTGGCACCTGTCAGCCCAGGAAGGACGGCACACGCAACGTCAGACATGCCTCTGCACACACCACTAAGCTCCAAGTTGACCTCCAGTGATAATTTTGGATGAAAAGGTCACACCGCACCTCTGTACCAAAACCATGAAAAGGATGACAACTAATTTTTTTTGTCATGTGGTCAATACAGTAGTGAGCTGAGATCTAACCTTGCTTCCTACTGTCTCCAGAGAGAAGCAAAAATACACAGTCACTGCCAGCTTTGACCACGTTAAGAATCACTGACCTAGAAATGGTCCTCTTCCTTCACAGTGACATTTGCACACGTATATTTTGCTTTTACATGCATGCTCTGATGCCTTGTGACAGATGCCCATAAAACATTTACAGCAATGAAGTCTTAACTTAGAATATCGGAACTTTCCAAAAGTAGGTTATGACTCTCTCGCTTAATTAGCCTCAGATATAGATCCTTATTAAAGCAAACCCTACGTGTGTCACACTGCCCACAGTGTTGGTGTCAGTTTACTAAAATAAAAAAAGGCAGGTACAGGCATTCATTATTATCTTGGAAAGAGGGAAAAAATGTTAGTTACCTGCCCCTGCTTTGTAAGCAAATACCTAACTACTTCACATTTTGCAGTACTGCACAAACATGTAAGATTTACCATCGCTTTTCACAAGCGGAACAGACGTGACACTACTGTCCTCACAAGTCCTCTGTGAAGTAGGTTACTGACCATTTTGAAAGATAAAGAAGCTGTGTAAAAATGTGAAGTGGCTTGTCTGAAGCAACCCAAAGAACTCACTCCAGGAGGATTAGACCTCTTCACTTGTTCAGTTCACAACCTTAACTACCCTTTTAACCTACTTCCAAAACATTTTTTTTCCTCTGACAGTCAAGCAATAAAAATACACTAAGGGAGAGCAATGGCAGTATCATCCACTTGGAATGCAGCTCCATTGAGTACTGCACCTGATCTTTTCCATTACACTCCCTCATTTCCTAACACTGTTTAAGCACAGATACACAGCAACCCAATTTCTTCATGTACCAGCAACAAGAAGAAATAACAACTTCTCTTCCTCCCTCTACTGGTAAAACCCAGGGATTGCTCTGTCACAGAGGTACCCACCGGGGAAACAACCAGTTTATCCCTCATTTCTCCGATCTATTTATCCTATATCAAGAGGTAGGAATTAGCACCAACAAAAAATTAAGTAAAGCTCAGTGTTTGTCAAAAGTCTTGGATAGCTCCTGCCAGCTGGAGAGGTGGTAGTTAGCTGATAAAGACTTGGCTTATAGCTTTTATGAATATCATCAGCTTGTACCAGCTTAGGCACAACCCGTTCACACGGCTCACCAAAGAAAGCATTGTAAAGCAGAAACAGCCTTACAGAAATGTACAGTGCTATCAGATACTATGTTCAGTAGTGAGGGCTTAGTGTGAAAAAGGAAGGACATTCACATACTACAAATGCAAGCTGCAATTTATTATTTGCACATTAAAAAAACCTAGTAATTTCTTATTTCAATGATTTAAAATTCCTCTTCAATATATAGATAGAAAATGGTATTCACCTAACGGTCATACCAACACCTTACCTTCTCACCAAGCTTCCTGAGGGCAGTCAGGATTTCCACTTTCTGCTGCGTGTATAGGTCTCGCCCCAACTTCCCAACCATTAGGTCTCGGTCCATCTGTATACCAGGGGGTGAAGTAATACATAAGCTTCTCATTAGGTTTCACTCAGAACAACAGTACGAGCAACGCAACAGCTTAATAATATCATCAGTAAGCATGGTACCCATGGAAGTAAGGGACAGAGCTAGCCATAATTCAAAAAATGGCCACGAGGCTTTTGGATCATTCTGCAAATACCCTTTGCACCCCACCCTGGCACTCTTGAGTTCTCCAAACTTGAATCTCTTTTAACCAAAGACTGCTATTAATTCAAAAGCACAGATTCCCGTATCAGCGATACATGGAGGAATCCCACTTCATCCCACTTCATCTCAGTCTCAAGTCCAGTCTAGATCTGAGACATCAAGTGCACTCTCCAGCCCCTCAATACCATGAGGTTCATTCCCTTCAGATTTCCTATCTGCAGTTATACTCCATTCACTGTCAAACCCATTTCTGTTTCGAAGCAGCAAGACAGAAGATAATCCAACACATACCCACTCTTGTCTCCCTTACCTCAATGAGCATTTTAAACTGACCAAATTCTGAAAGAGAACTTTATCTCCTTACAATGCTGCCAGAGTTTTCTAACACACTTCGCGCTCTCCCTGCGATCATTGCGTATTTAAATCAGTCTAGCCCAGATGAACAGTTTTTACAGTAAAACAGAAACCTTTACCTCTGCTAATCTTGTCCTCAATTGCCTTGGTTGTTTCTTTGCAAACATTCGAATTACTTCTGGAGTTTTAAATGCTTGGCTGATGGCTGCCTGTATTGCCTACAAGGAGAAGAGCAGGAACGATGAGAACTAACAGCAGTGGCAAGCTATAGCTGCACGAGAAGATTAATGACTGAAAAGCATCGTTAGTATCCTCCACATCACCTGATAAAGAGCTTTTCTTTTTTTGCATAACCATGGATGCGAGATGTAAAAATCTATGACCTTTATGCAGGGCTTGAAAAAGCACTAATTAGTGCAACTACACTGGGAATGAGCTGTGCAACTTTTCATTATTTCTTAATTTCTAATTATTTCCAATATCTTACTGATAGGAGCACATCACAAGTGAATGTGCTATGCTATCTTTAGCAGTTACAATGCACTCGCTGTCGATTACAGCTCTTTTCAGGGTGAGCAGAAAGTAAACGATGAGGCAAATCTCCAACTGTTACTCAAAATCCTCCATGGAGTACCAAAACTATTAGGATGACATCTCACCACAGTTATGTCTGGACAAATCATGACCTCTCTGGAAACCAAAGCCTATGGCTCAGAGGGAACAAACGATGCTCTGACTAAACAACTGAAATGACAGATAATGTAACAAAAGTTTGGAAGTAAGCATAAAATAAGATCAATTCACTAAAAGAACTTAAAGTTACACAGTCACTCCAGGAGCCTTTGCTTTTGGACGGTATGGATCTCCGAATTACAAATCAGCAATAGCAGCACAGGAGGTGCTGTCTTTATGCTTTCTAACAACAGGCATGAACTTGACTTCTCGTGATCCATATTGGCCTGGATTGTCCCCCACACCTTCTCTATTAACTTGTATTATTTTACATTGTTTTCTAATATTAAGGATCCGATACGGTTCCCACAGTTGTTGTTGAATTATGGCTATAATTGAACATTTTTTTTCCTTTTAAAACGAAGAGCCCTAACCAAGCTTTTGCATATACACATATATTAAATAGTAAGAACATTAGATACATAAACCTAGTTTTCACACATGCCCGTCTGAAAATTATAATGAACCACTTTTATCTATTTTCTGTTTCATTGAGCCCAGGCAAAACATGAACTATTTATAGTAACACATCATCCTTACCAGTTGCATCCCACTGAGCTCATCCACCAAAGTCATATCTCCAGACATGATCTTCTTCAGCGAGTCATTGATCTCACTCAGCTGTTCCAGAGTTTCTTTTTTGGTCTCCTCATACTCATCTGCATCTAGCTCCTCTCTAAAGGAGATCCAACAAGACACATGAATTCATAGGATTAAACCCGACACGTAACATGGAGAAAAGGGTCTCGGGGAATATCATGAGGCATGCTTCCTCAGACAGCAATGAAAACATTCACCTCACATCATACTGTTCTGTTGCTAGCCCCCTGAGCTGCTACTTAGCTTGGGTTTGCACCCCCTCCTAGCCACCCACGCACTTGTGTTGTCATTGCATAAAATGACGTGAAAGAAATCACATGAAAACGTTAGACGAACTTAAGAAAAACCACCCCCAAACATTCGTAACTATAAGATAAAACAAAGCAAGACACAAAAGCAAATAACTGCTATTAAAAATGTCCATGTGCAAATTGTGAATTCTGTGAATGGCTATTAAAAGTTAAAAAGTCACACTGAAATATAAAATTTGAAAGAAACCAGTAATGAGTATTTCTGCCTCCATTTTCCTCCAGAACATGACAAATAATGTGATCTTAATAAAAAGTTTTTTTTTTTTAAATAATTTGTATTACCTAAGACAAACATCTTAGCTAATTCTTAAAAAATAAAGCCACAGCAAAACACAAAACAAAAACCCCCACAAGTTCTTTGAAAGGTTGGTCTTCTGTCAACCACTTAAGAAAGAATTATTACCATATAGAGAGGAAAGCATTTATTTTTATTACCTGCATTCCTCCAGATCTTGCAGCTGCTGCATTAGTCTATCCAACTGCTCTTCCAAGTTTTGTTTGAGCTTACTGGTCTCTGTTGTTCCTCTTGAAGCCATTTTTGTTTACACACAAAATTTTAAGTTGTTACATGACACTCCTAAGAGAAAGAACACTTTATTGTTGTGTATCAACAACTTAAAACTTCTTTGCTCCAAGTATCAATAAATCTATGCAATATCTTGGTGGTGGAATGTCAAATCAAAACACCCGGGGATCCTCGCAGTGGAAATACAGGAATGTCAGGCTGGGTCCACAGGATTGTCCTTGGCAGCCAGAGGCAGTTCACCAAGGTAATCACCAGCCACAGGACATAAACCCAAACAATCGGGATGACGGGAATCCTGAGGTCCCGCTATACGAAACAGCGGATTCTCCTCTCCGACTGTCCCTTGGGAAACTGTAGAAGGGACAACGACCCGGAGGCAGGTGTCTGAAGCAGGCGAACACCTCAGAATCATTAGCAGCAGCAAACCAGGGCACTCCAGAGGAAACCGGTGCTCCGCCGGGTATGGGACAGGGTGTCCGACGGCAGCGATGGCAACTCCCGCGTCACGTTCCGGTTCCACCGCCCGCGACCAGCAAGTTCCGAGGTTTGCACTACGGCCGACGGCTTCAGCAGAAAACGGGCCCCCGCCCCGCCGAAAGGCGCGCGAGGGGAGCGAACGGGAGGTGCCCGCCAGGAAGAACGAGAAGGGACGCCGGGGCTACCCAACTCCTGCTACCCCCGAGGCCAGGGCTGCAGCGCGGCTCTT